CTGTCCATGTGGTGACAGTAGGTGTGGCAGTGGCTATATTACACCACCTTGGCTCCTTTTCCATAATCTGTGGCCGTAGACTAAGCCCCCAGTACCACCTGGGTCTCGGCTCACCTCTGCGCCTGCTAGACCTATGGGCGCTTCCCTTTGGGGCCTAGGACTGAGCCTCAGTGCCATGCAGGTGTCTGCTTACTTTGGCGGCGGCTGCAGCACACTGATGCTTTTAAATCAGTTCAAGAATCACCTCCTCTAGCAAGCCTACACCAAGTTCCTGCAGAATACCAACAGGAGATTTTAATGTACATCTCTCAGTAACTTAAAGAGCAAGCAGGGAAAAAAATTGGTAAAGGCATAGAAGATCTGAATAACCTGATTGATAAACTTGACATAATTAATACATACAAAACACAGAATCAAAAAATGACAGTATACTTTTTCTTTTCAAGGGTATAGGGAACATTACTAAAATTGGCTGTATACTGGGTCACAAAACAAGTATGAACACATTTCAAATATTAAACTCAGCTCTCACCATGTGATCTGCTTGTACCCGCCGGCTGCCTGCCACTTTCCGCCATGAGTAGAAGCAGCTTGAGGCCCGTGCCAGATGCAGCTGTCCCAGAATCGTAAGAGAAAGGACAACCACAGGAAGTAAAATTCACGGTTGCCATGGAGAGGCCCGCTCTGTAGAGACCGGAAGTTGGCCCCGCTGGGGGCGGAGTCAGAGCGTGGCTTTGAAGCCTTGTCCGCGGCCATCATGAGCAGCCGCAATAAGGGTCGGAAGAACTCCTGCGCCAAAAGCCGAGGCAAAGGCCAAGGCAAAGGCCAAGCCAAAGCCCGAGTCCGTGCTTCTCCTGACGACGGTCCGCACCACCCGGACCCTCCACAGTTCCAGAGGCTGGAGGAAGACACCACGGTGGCACAGGTGCCGGCTGGCGCGGGTTGGGGTGGCCTGGAAACCGCTGCGTCTGCGCCGTGCCCCCGGCCCGGGGAGGAGGCTGCCCGCCGACCCCCCATGGACTGTGGCCTCCCGCTCTGGGCCCGAGCTGCGGGGGACCAAGGGCAGGCCGCGACCAGGCCCGGCCTGGGGAAGGCCACTTCTATCTCAGAGCGCCTGTCCACAGACACTGTCTTCGTGGGAACTACGGGAACCGTGGGAAGGCCGAAAAATGGCCCCCGCATCGGAAATCGGCGTGGCGCAGCTGGGAAGAAGGGCCCAGAAACACGTAGTGCCATGGGGAGGGCACCTCAGGCCATAGCTAGTGGAAAGCCGAAGAAAGGGACGGCCGGGGATTGTACCTCCGTCTCAATGGAGGAGGAAAAGAAGGTGGAGAAGAATGCAGGGTCAGGGCCCCCAGTGACAGAAGGCAGCATGGATACTCTGGAGAATGTCCAGCTGAAGCTGGAGACCATGAACGCCCAGGCGGACAGGGCCTACCTTCGCCTGTCGCGCAAGGTTGGGAAGTTGCGACTGCACCACTTAGAGCGGAGGAACCTCCTGATCCAGAATATCCCTGGCTTCTGGAGGCAAGCTTTTCAGAACCACCCCCAGCTATCATCCTTTCTG